TGACTTTAGAATTTATGAGTGGAGTAAAAGGCTTTCTTGTCCAGTGTGTCCCAAAGTGTGATTCACGGATTACAGCATCAACATCACCCAGGGAACATGTTGGAAATACAAACCTTGGGCCCCATAGGCAAAATGTGGAATGGCAAACTCTTCAGATAGGGCCAGGATCCTGTTTTGTAAAACTCTCTCCTGTAAGTCTGATGTACACTAATGCATGAGAACCAGTTTCTTTGACAGCAAAACTACACCTCTCCAATCAAAGGAGAAACTACCTTATAGAAATAGTAAGATGTACCTTCTTAATAACATGTCAGAGCACTAAAGGAGTTCTTCCCCAGGACTCACCCAATTTTGCATGTGTCCTGAACCCACTGATGGAGGGGTTGTGGTAGGATTACTGAGTTTGAACTTAGGGCCTTAAGCATGCTAGACAGCGTGAACTATACCTCCAACCCATTTCGCATTACTTGTTTTTAGGGTCTTGCTTTATGACCTGGCCTGCCTGGACCCTGATCCTATTTGCGCGTCCCCAAGTACTGTTGAGATGGGGTCTCATGAGATTTTTGCCCAGCTGGCTTCAAACTGCGATCATCCTGATCTCTGCTTCCAGAGAAGCTAAGATTATAGGCGTGAGTCACCACACCCAGCCATTCATTTCTTCTTCTGCAGAGTAAATATGAATCTTGCTTACTAAAAATCTAATACAGCAGTAACTTTTCCTGGGATCATCAGGTATTTATTTTTTTAGCATCATATTATTGTTGTGCTGGGGGTACATTTTGACATTTACAAGTTCTTATACTATACCATCGTTGAATTCACCCCCTCCATCATTCTCCTTTACCCTCCTCCACTCCCACTCCCTCCTGGAACACTTTCAACATGCCTCATTTTTCCATTTTCATACATGAGTACATAGTATTTCCACTACATTTACCCTCCTTTCCTTATATCCTCCCCTCTCCCACTGGTACCAACCTTCAAACAAGACCTGTTTTACCTTCCTGATCTCTGTTTATGAAAACAAGGCATTTTTGTTTATTTAAGATAGCTATACAGGGAGTTTTATTGTGACATTTCCATGTATATATGTATTATAACCTGAATTAGTTCACCCCTCGTATTTTTCTTCTTTTTCTACCTTAGTTCCCTTCTTATGGTGATTTCAACAGGTTTAAAAATTCTATATTCATAAGAGCAAAATAGTTTCTGCTGGGTATTGAGGGGATGGGGGGAGAGGGAGGGGGTGGAGTGGGTGGTAAGGTGGGGGGCAGGGGGAGAACTGACCCAAGCCTTGTATGCACATATGAATAATAAAACAATAAAAAAAATTCTATATTCATTAAGGGAGGTCACTAACAGGAGACGAAAGGTAAAAGAAGGAAGTTAAGAAGGTGAATATGGTTGATGTACTTTCTATACAAGGATCATCAGATATTAAGTACCTTTCAGTCTTCTCCTCAGGCTAAACAATCCCAGTTCCTTTTACTTCTACTTGTAGACACTTTTTAAAACTCTTCCTCATCCCTCTCAACCTCTAGAATAAAGTATAAACTCATTTTAATCTTCAAATGAATTTAAAACATTCCCTGCCATTGAACCAGAGAAACTAAAACTAAACTAAGACTAGGTTTTTAAAAATATTCTACCTATGTTTTACAATACAATAAGTACTTCTTTAGGAAAAAAAAAAACATTTTAGGTGTGTCCTTTCTAGATACTCTGATCCCTCCTTCTCACCTGTTGTTTTCACAAAAAAAAAAAAAAAAGTTTTAGTTCATTGTAAGGTCACAAAGTATCTCACATATATTGCATTAAGCATTCTGATCCTCATCTGCCCTATTAAATAAGAATTGACCAGATGGATATTCCTCTGCTTTCTCTCCTGAGCAGGTTTTAGTTAATTAAAAATGATTATTTTTACTACATATTTTATATATCAGCCAGATGTTACTGGTGGTCATTTCTGGAAGGGATTACATGGTGGTAGTTATAAAATACATATTTTCCTTTGGGAGGCAAGACTCCTGAGTACAGTCAGGAGAATAAATGTAAAAACTGATTTCACCTTATACATTTTTTTCCTCCTGCCAAAATGGATGTAACATTTCACTCTCTTTGCAAGCAAGAACTCCTCAAATTCCTCCTTCTTTATAACTCTGCACTCCAGCCCTGTTCATGTGTTAAAAAACAAAAACCAAAAAACCTGTCAGGTTGATGGAAGAAAAATTAACATTGGTTTCCCTCTGTACTACAAGGGTAAAGTTGATCTTTCTGAAGGAAGAGATTTGGGGTTTTTTTATTTGATTTCTGTAAGTCATCTATGTATTCATGACACAACAAACTGTCCCACTCAGATGGGAGCTACATTGCACAACTATGAGGATTCTCTCACAGACATTGGCAATAGTTCACACCCTTGCATAGGTCTCCTTTGAAGCTTTTTTCATGTGAACTAATTCATCTGAATTTCTCATTAGTGCTGAAATATTTCAGGATGAGGCAAAGAATATGTAATTATAAAATTGCTTTGTGATTACACAGTCATTTTCTCCCCATGTGGACACAAATCTAAAAATGTCTCTTTTTTTTTACCTAAAACAAAATAATATCCAACCTTAAAAAAATTCAGATCTAGAAGTCACCCCAGATTATGAATTCTAACAGAAGAAATCAACCACACTATCATCACTTGGGCTGAGATGAAACAGTTGGTCTTCTCCGAAACACCACCTAGAGGCAAATGCTGCATGCTATCAAACACACTCACGCATGGCAGGGTTCATAAACAAGCAAGGAATTTTCAATTCCAAAGGCCTGGCTATGTCTTGTAGTGCATTTCATCTTGTGGTAGGTATGTGGGTTCTGCCATCAGTTCTGACCATCTACGTGACCTTGAATAAGTGACTTCTCTACTCTGAGTTTCTTTTTCCATGTCAAAAACAATGACAGGGAGGAGCTAGATACTCACTAAGTCCTTTTAAGTCCCCAAATTATATGATAGATTGTTTCAAAAATAACTTTAAAACCTAATATTCTTTATTGAACAATTGTAACAATTTTTTTGGGGGGGGGCAAGGTGGCTTCTATTAACTTACAGCTTTAAACACAGAGCCAGCAATTCATTTTCTGATTGTATAAAGCATCTGCTCTCATGTTCTGAAGTACACAAATGTGCTTGTAGTAAATCATAGTCACCTCAGAAATGACCTCTTCCTCTTATGTTTTAATAGCAATCAACATCAACTAGGATGTTCTCATTAAAGTCATCTGTGGTACATCTGATTTTAAGAGCCAGGTAAGAAGGGGCAGACATTCCTGATGAAAAGCCCCCTAGTCCTTGGAATAAACTAACCCTCAAAATATAACATTACTTACCTTTGGATCAGGCCATGCTCATCAGCCTCTAATAGGTTTGAGGGATTCACCAGTCTTAATTTCCTACATGCATCTATAATTGTCCACAGAGGTCAATTTCAGTGGATGCCTCATATAAATTAAAATTGAAGATAATGATGTCTTTCACTTGATCAACTAAAATGACCAGCTGGGTTTAATGGGAGGAAAACAGAAACCCCAGTGAAATTAGAATAGCTTCAAAGGTGATAGAATGTAATTATTTTTCTGTAACGTTTCTTCTCCAAAGGTGACTGGTCATTGCACTGGGGTACCAGGGTCAGCATATGATGAAGCTGGATATGCTTGCTGTTCGGAGCCATGGACCATATCCAAACCACAAATCAAGAGTCATTGCTGAGACATTGGGGGAAAACAGGATTTCTTTTCTGTTCTTATTTTAGTTGTTTCCTTTACAGCTAGAAAGGCGCTTTGAGGGACTTGCTTAATTGACTCCCGAGAGGCAAATTCTAATTTAGATTGGTACAAAATGTATTCCCATTCTAGCCATAAAACATTTTCTTGGATTTGTTCTAATTATCCTTGGGGCAAAATAATTTTAGGTATGAAAGAAACTTGATATCACCTGTCCTCAACCCCTTTATTTCACAGATGAAGAAACAGAGGTCAAGAGATGTGAACAGACTAGACCAAGGTCCCTGAGCTAGGAAGAGGAAAGGGCTGGGTTAGAACTCACAGATGAGAAAATGAAACCTAAACCTACTCTCAATTCAGAGTGTTTGCTTATGACTAACTGGAGAGTCGTTCAGGGAAAAAAAGACTCTTGATGAAAATTATCATTTATGAAACTTAGGTTCCATAATGTGCAGAGGTGCTTGCAAAAAAACTGGAGGTGGGAGGAAGGGTGTGACAGAGAGCAAGGAAGTACCAGAGCACAAAGTATATCACCAGTCCCCATGACTGACAGTAAATTCTGTTCATGTGCACCTGTGTGACAGTGACCCACAGGGGAAACCACAGAGTCGGCAGTCAGCTTCCCACCTCACCTTGATTTATTTTATTTAATTAATTATTATTACTCTTTTTTGCAGAGCTGAGCATTGAACCTTGGCCTTGCACAAGCTAGGCAGGAGCTCTAACCACTGAACTATACCTCTAGCCCTTGGGCTAATTTTGAGCAACCTTTGGCAGGGTGCTTAAGTTCTGGTCCTCTGTCTCTCATCTGTAGAAAAGGATGCTAATATCAGTACTTTCTATTGTAAGGATTAAAAACCTTACTGTACTTACCTTGGTATTACAGAGATTAATCGAACTAAACAAATTGATAGAAGTACAGAGCTTAACACACAGTGTTATGTTGGTGTTTGCTATTTTCCCTTAATTCACTATATCAGAAAACCTTAAGGGTTTCAGAATATATGCAAAAGTGGTATTCATTAATAATGTACCGAAATGCTTTATCTGAGATATATACCTGAGGAATTTACTTGAGAGATTCAGAAAGTTAGTGATAAAACCTTTTTATGTTTAATGGATTAACTTGTCAATATGTAGTGCTACAATTTAAATTGGTTTTTAAAAAATTAAACAACTATGCCAGGCATGGTGCCACGCGCCAGTAATCCTAGCACTCGGGAGGCTGAGGCAGGAGGATCACAGGTTTGAGGCCAGCTTGTGCTACACAAAGAGCCCTTGTCTCAAAAAACTAACTAACCAACCAACCAAACAAACAAACAAACACAGCCTTTTGTGTATAAGAAATTCAATGATATTCATAGTTCCATGTAACAATGTCAGAAATTTCATTTGTAAAGTGATTAATAAAAGAGACCATCCATCTTCAAAACTAAAGATAGCTTTCCATCGGGGATATCAGTGCCAAATCAGTGTCTCCTGAAGCTGTTACAGCAGCAGCTCAAGGAGGTGACTTTTTTTTTTCTCCCAAAAGTAGACTTCTTGGGCAGGTCAACATTTTTTTTCCCCTTAGAATGTGATGTTGTTCAAGCTTCTGTGAACATTTTACTGAGTTTTTAGGGGCATCTTCACAAAATTAATAATGCCATGCAGTGATTAAAAGCATCTCGGAGGTGTTGATGAGCACCAGATGGATCAGGTGCTTTTGCTGTTATTTCCTATTCCGTTCTTTGGGTTAAATTCAGTGGAAATATCACAGGAAAAAGTCAGTTACCTACTCCCCTATTTTGAAATGATGCATCTTAGCAATTCTGTAGAAAAATCATTGTTGAAGACTGCTGCAAGGAACTTCTCTGGGTTGGCTGCTGATTCAAGACATTGGAAGATCATGATAAGCCGCATACCTTCCAGTCACATGATGGTAAATCTGAGGAAAATCCATTTCATTCATTAGTAATTACTATTTAATCACACCCATCAGTTAACAGTTAGATGATCACATAGTAAGTAATCATTTTAAAATTTTACTACTATGTGTCTCAGCAGAATCTCCAGTGACCTACTTCAGATGGAGGCTTGGGTATGAGGTGGTAAACCAGATTGAGTATTCATCTTTAGTTCTCAGATCTCAAAATCCCTTGCACACTGGATTATTACTCACCTGCCTCTCGATGTCTGAAAGCAAAGCACTGGCCCCTATTCGAAAGAGCTCCGGCTTTAGCCACTCATCTCCTAGTTCCTCCTTTATGAGAGAGAGCCACGCAAGAGAGTCCTTGGCAGTGCGGATGCCTCCTGCGGGTTTAAAGCCTACCTAAAAAAAAGGAGAGACAACAAAACAATGGCTATTGCTGTTTGGCTGCTTTTCAAAATGACACTGTGTTTATAGGTCTCGATTCTCTCCTTTTTTAAAAATCTTTTTCACTTCACCCAGCAAAAGCACTTACACCATTGACTCATGCTCATTGACACTACAAAACAACTTTTCAAGATGAAATGGGAACAACATCCCTCTTCTGTGAGACACTAATGAGGGCTAATAACCCACTTTAACATTTCACTTGTTGGAAAGTCATAAACTTCAACCTCTAGACAGTATCTACTAACTTGGAAGAGACAAGAAAGGTATCAGTACACAGGAAAATACATCACACAAAGACTCACTCTAGATTTCTACAAGTAAGTCTGCACAGTCACATTTCAGACTTCATCATGAGATTCAAAAGCAGATGTGCATTTAAAGTAGGAGAATAGAACCTGAGAGGCCACAAGTTTACCTTAGCTAAAGCAGAAGCTATTCTGCAAGGAGAGTTGACAATAGTTTTAATTGATTTAACTGCAGGGACTTCTTTTTTTTTCTGAGGTTGTTAAACAACACAGAGTTCTATAAAACAGGAAAACCAGTGGTACAAGCCTAGTGGGTAAAGATAGTACAGAGGCTCTTCATACTTCGAAGTTTTTAAAAATTGACTCAAATAGCCAAATTCAGCCAATATGTAATGTTTATAAATGATATCCTGTATTCATTCGGAAAGGAAAAGTATGTTCCATACTGATCATATAGACATACTTGTTCCAGGAGGTTGTCTATCCAAATAAGCAGAGTCTATATAGATGGGAGCCTTCACATCACATCCCATAGCCCAAGAACTAAAGCATTTGCATTTTATCACTAGGGCTTTTCTTGGTAGATAGCATCAGACTGCTAGAGAAGGGAAACAAAAGATGAATGGTCCTATTCTAAACCCAAGCCAGAAACCTCACAGTGAATCTGGATTCTACCATTCCCTGGGCACATCACACCTATTTGGTAGTCAAGTCCTGTCAGTCCTCTCGCTTTGCCTTCTGGATGTCTGTATATAACCTTTCCTTTCTACTCTCACTTGGACAGTTCAGTCTAGACCTTCACCACTTCTCACAAGGAAAATCAGTAACAGTCTCCTAACTGTTTCTCCACCTCCATCATATATCACACAACTATTCAGAAGCAGTGCAGCACTTCTAACCATAGAAAATCAATTAGCTGATATTAGCATGCACGTTAATCATAGGAGCTTTCCTGTCAATCAGCCAGTGCTTCATATAGATTTTCTACATAGTTCAGTTGGCATCAGCAACTCTGTTGGGCAATGTTTCCAAAGAGAGGCTCTTGCATAAGCTAATCTTTTTTTTAAAGGGAGAGAATATGGAAAACATAAATCTGTAATGAAATCAGTTATGAAATATTAAACCTCTGCTTCTCAGGAGTGACACTAATCATGGTCTGGAAGGCAGCCTATCACGTTGGCAAATGCCACTTAAATCAATGCATTAGAAACTTTACAGTATGAAGGCTGACCGTGCATGTTGCCAGCAATCTAAAGGCTGTAACTGGTTTACTGGTACATACACAGATCCTCTTTGTTTGAAATCGAATGTGATTAAATGTATGTGATTTGACCTGTACTTGTCCTCTCCTTAAAACTGAGTTGGACTTTATTAACTGAGGGAAGAACTGATACAATCAAAAAGAAAGGATGAGAGATAGCAAAATGTCCCTCTGAAATATGGTTTGGAACACTAAGCACTTAAAACTTTCTCTGACATTATTTTCTTATTTAAGAGCTCTCTTGTAAGGGGTATGTTCATTTTTTGCATTCCTAGTATTAACGTGGTACACAGTTAACTACTCAATAGAAGTGTCTTTGGTCTCCAATGGCATGTTTCAGCCCTAACGTTGGAGTTATCAAACAGATACCAGAGAAGTTCTTCAGACCCGGGACTGCCAGGGATGGGAGCCCAGGCATCCACACAGATAACATTTCACATCTGATTTTGTTCTTTGGCTGAGAATGAGAACCACTGGCCCAATGAGTGGTGGCAGTTTCAACTGAAGGACTAAAGATAGATTCATTTTTACAGCTTTTCTTTAAAAAATGGTTTTTTAAAGAAAAAAACACAGGAAGACTACTGAGTGCCTCAAGTCGGATCAGCTGTCGTATGTAAGTCACAATAGATATTTTTCTTATTTGTACTTAACATGTGAGGTTATTCTCTTTATTTTTTATTTTTCTTTGGCCATGCCGAGGTTTAAACTCAGGGCCTCACACTTCTAAGCAGAGACTCTATCACTTGAGTCACACCCTCAGTCATTTTACTTTATTTATTTTTTGGATAGGGTCTTGTGTTTTTGCCTAGTCTTCCCCGGCCATCATCCTCCTCCTAATGTCTCCCGTGTACGTGGAATTACAGGCATAAAATACTGTGTCTAGCCAAAATGTCAGGTTATTCTGAAGGAGAAAATTCTAGAAGGCATTTATTTCCCCTCACAATCAGTACATTTCAAAAAAGTCTCCAATTCCAAAATAAACTGAATCTATATAGTCACATATAAAGTCATCGCACCTATTAGGAAAAGGATTAAAGATCTTTTGTAGGTTCACCTTTGCAGAAATCTACTGGTTTTTAAAAGATGTCTCTCAGGAAGAGAAAGTCTCATTAAACACAGACATATACACACAGATACACACCCCCCTTTCTCTCCAATGATGTAAAAATTCCTTTGAGATCATTTGCAACTAGACAAGCAACTTGAAATGAAAAGGAAAATTCAAACTCATTTTATAAAAACACTGGATATACATTTTTTCCTTTTAACTTCATGTTTCGAAAAATATGTATTATTTTTGAAAAAGCTGACAAAAGCTAGCATACACCCTCCTCAGCTTAAGTCTTCCAAAAAGCACATCCAACTGCCATAAAACGCAAAAATGGATATTTAATTCAAGAGCTATATAACGTCTAGCTACCTTTTCCCTGCTGTTTCACAGCATTTCATTATTTTGTTTAATAAGTTCATCTCCTCAAGAATTTTCTCTTCACCTCATATTATTAAAAGTAATAAGTTTTTCTGGACCGGGGGTTTCCCCAACAGAAAAACCAATTTATGTGTGTCCTTCAATAATGACAGGAAAAGATTATTTCCCATTATATTGCATACTTTTCATATCACCACCACAGCTTATCATTCAATAAATGTTACTCTGCAATTCTTTCCATTCCTCAAGGAAGTTTAATTTCACATTAACCTGTTTTCACTGGCCAACACCTTGCCAGAAAGCCTCTGTGTCACAGCAGAATTAGTTCGTTAAAGAACCCATTTAGGAATCTCTTGTCAGTGATAAAATTGTCTTCGGTTAATAAAAAGACATAAAGTGAGTTTACATCTTGATGAAACATACTTACTCCCACACTCACACTCACTTTTCTCCATAAGCGTGTTCTCTTATAATGAAAGGTAAATTAAACATTTATCTTAATAAAGGTAACTCATTCGCACCTTCTGCATATAAAGACAGTTATCATGGTAGCTATAAGGAGCACTATAAATAACATCTTTACGCTGAAGAAAGATTTGCTGGCAATAATATACCTTGTTTCCAGTTTTCCAAAAGAAGTCTCTAATGGCCCGTAGCATTACTACAGCTACTGAGAAGGTGGCATTTACTGTTTCTTTTCCTGTAGAGGTCTTAATAAAATCTGATCCTAAAACAAAAGCAAGAAAAACTCCCGGGTTAATTAAAAATTCATTGTTTTACATGTAAGTCAATGAAAGAAATGAGTTGTGCAAATTTCCCCCAGAGGTACACAACTTTTCATTAATTTGAAAAACTAAAATGTAATCTAGTTTAAAATAATCTCACCCATCCTTTCTTCTCTCCTTATAATCAGATGAATTAAATTATGTGTCCAATGGGTGCTCATATGGGCCTCTGGTACTCACGCCTCCATATTCACACATCACCAATTAAAATCAAGCTGGCTTATTTAATGCATGACTGAGATGAATAAAAACAATTTTATGCCCTGTGCTCAATATCATGTTTCAAAACATTTTACTTGAAAACTGAAGTGCCTACTCATTTTCTTCTCATTTTTCTCAGGCATGCTAGAAAGTCCACAGTACAGTTGTGGCAACACAAGAAAAATTGCCAGGATTTCTATTGCACTGTTCATTAGTGAAAGCACTATGTCTTCTAACCAGATTAGGATTTTCATGAAACCATGTTATTTCATACTTTGCAAATATTTTCACCAACTTCCTTTTCTCAAATATATCTTAAGCTTATCTGAATAGTTTAAGAGAGTAGGAGGAAACAAAAAAAATGGTAACAGTAAAAATGCAGTGAGTATCAAGCTCTGCGTTACAAATCCAGGTAATTAGTGACTAAGTACTAATGGCATCTTCATCTTTAAACAGGCACAGAAAAGTGGCTTGCTTGAGGTCACAAAGGACAAGTGTGCGTGCGTGTGTGTGTGTGCAATTTTAGCCAAGGCAATCTAGCTTAACCCCATATGTTAGTGTTGTGTCTAAGAAACTTACCCAGGGCCACACAGCCAGCTAAATACAGAATCCATCTTTCATGTGGTTACTTAGCCCCATAACACTCAAAATATGAACGTTTATAAGCAGCATGGGACCACCAGAGATGGCACAGAGAGGGGGAAAGGTCAAAAGGTACTAAGTTACAGTTGGAGAAGAGAAATAATTTCTGGTGTTTTATTACATCATAGGCTGACACAGATCACAATAATGTACTTACTATATGTATTCTTTTTAAAAGCTAGCGTTTGAAAGGTTTTGAATGTTTCACCACTATGCACTGATAAATGTTTAAGGAGACAGGTATGTTTATCCAGGTTTGAATACTGCCCAATGTATACATGTACTGAAACATCATATGATTCCCCATAACTAGGACAATTTTATATGTCAATTTAAATAAATTAATTTTTTAATGAAAAAACAGGCAGGCTTTCAGAGTATACACCAGCCCAAATGAATCATAATCTAATATAAACAAGGTTCTTAGGTGATTTGTGTACAAGGTTACAGTAACCAGCCCACTCAATCTCTAGAACCATACCTAAAACTAATCTGAGAGTCTCCAAACTCCATTAAAGAAATGGAAGATAGAATGTGAAGAGAAGGAAGAAGGAAGAGGTAAACCTTCCCCTCTAGTTTCAATTGGAAAAGATACTTCCACACCTATTCCATGGATGGGAAAGTTCAAATAGCCACACTTTATTAAACACGCTGCAAGTAAGCATGTGGAAAATATGAAACTAAATTACTCAAGGCTTGCCCTCTAAGTGCAGTTGGGGAAGAAGCATGAACTCTAGGATTCACTTGATGAGCCAGAAGTCAGGAGATCTGGTTTCAGTTCTGGCTTTTATGGTTGCCTTGAAAATTCAATCTCCTAAACTCCTCATTTGTAAAATAGGTCTAAAAAGTTCTTTCTTGCTTCAAAGAGCTGCACAAGGCATCAAAAGAGATCATCTAGGTGAAAGCACTTTGAAACTGTCAAGTATTATATGAATGTAAATGAAGACCAGTAAACAAAACAAAGTTCTTGCCCTAGTGAAGTAAGGTATAGAATAATACCTAGGGAGGAAAAGCTACTTTTAGGAGTCATCTTGACAGCATCTCTGCCTCATGATTGAAGGGAATCTGGAAAACAGTGTTACAAGCAAGGAACGAGTACAAAGGTCTCAGTATAGGCATGTGCTGAGTCTACTACCAATGAATGAATGGTGGAATACAGAACTGATGCCTGGTCCCTACAATGCAGAAATAAGACCATCAAAGACAAGAGAGTAAAGCCTCCACAAAGACATAAGCAAGTGAATTCTCAAAAGAATTCACAGTGAGACCGGAATGTGTGTGCCTAATACGTGACATTATCTTCTGATTTACTTAAAAGTTTTTTGGGATAACACTGAATATTATCTAAATTCTTTTAAGCATGTTAGATTAAGACAAAGAACCAAGGCCACAATTGCAGGTCTAAAAACAATCACTTTTGTTAAAAATCACAGCATCTAAAATTAATCAAAAGAGCCAACCTCCTTTGGAAGAGTTCAGAGGCAGGGTAATGATGGAGACTCTTCCTAGTATGTTTGGGAGGAGCAAAGCATAGTGCCTACCATGGTAGGATCAGTGGCCCCCAAACTTATTTACTTCTTTGTTCCCCTTTTATGACTGCATTGTAACCATGTTTGGGGTCACATGCTATAACTTTCATATATACTTCTATATCCCCAGAGCATGACACACAGGAGAAATTCAACAAATAATTTTAGAATGGATGGATGGCCAGCCATAGCTATCAAGGAAAAACAAACTACAGGATTTTCCACCTTTAGCTGACTAATAAGGAAGGGAAAACAATTTTGTGTTTCAGTTCAGTTCCAGTAATAAAACTGGGCAGGGGTGTTAGAATAAAAATTGTTTTACTAAGTAGATTAATTACATTTAGATAAACTTGACTTTAGGACAGATTTAGATTTATAGAGAAATTACAGAGGTGGTACAATTCCCAGATACCCTATACCAGTTTCCCTTATTATTACCATCTTACATTAGGATGTATATTACTAATTGTTAGAAGAAGGGAACCAATGCTGATCTTATTCACCAAAGTCCATGCTTTTGATTTCCTTCCTTTTATTCAGTATCCAATTCCATCCAGGGTACTACATTTGTCATGTTTCTATAGATTCCTCTTGGCTGTGATAGTTTCTTAGATTTTCCTTACTTTGATGACTTTGACAGTTTTGAAAGTACTAGTCAGGTGTTTTGTACAATGTCTCTTGATTGGGACTTGTCTGATATTTTTCTCATGATTAGACTGGGGTAGTAGGTCCTGGAAGGAAGATCATAGAGGTAAAGTGCCATTTTTATCACATCATATCAAAGGTACATACTATCACCATGATCACTTGATCAGTTGAAACTGACCTCAAGCACTTGGTGGGGGTAGTGCTTGCCTGGTTTCTCCACTATTGCAGTGTCTCATCATTAAGTATGTTGGTTGAAGTTTGCTTGCAGATATTTTATAGTAAGTTGAGGATATTCCCTACCATTCATCATTTGTTGAGAGTTTTTATTAAAAATGGGTACTGGAATTTGCCAAACAATTTTTATGAGTTAAATGATAAAATGACATGATTTTTCTTCCTCAGTTTATTGATATGGTGGGTTACATTATCTTAAATCAGAATTGCATACCTGGAGTAAATTGTATTTGATCATGGTATATAATTCTTGTTATTCATGGTCAAAGCAGTTTTGTTAATAATTTGTAGAAAACTTTTATTTTTATTATTTTTTAATTATATTATTATTGTACTGGGGGTATATTATGACATTCACAAAAGTTCTTATATAATAGTTGTTCGTGAAAGATATCAATCTATAGTTTTTCTTTCTTGTACTGTCTTTTATTAGGTTTTGGTATCTGGGTAATGATGGTCTCATAAAACGAGTATCTCTGTTCTACTTTCTAGAAGAGATTGTGGAAAAGTATTATTTCTTACTTAATGTTTGAAATAGTTCACCAGTGAAGCTATCTATAGCTACTGTTTTCTTTTAGAAGGTTATAATTACTACCCTTTAATAATTTGCTAAATTATTAAATAAAATACATTATGTGAATATTTTATAAAATTCAATTAAAATTAAAATCATTTCTAGCCAGATAAAGGCCCATTCAGATTATTTCTCTTTGTGAGTTTGGTTGTTTATGTCTTTCAGGGAATTGATCCACCCAAGTTATCAAATTTGTGGGCAGAAAGGTGTTCAGACATGCCTATATGATATTTTTAATGTCCACCCCTCTTTCATTCCCAATAAGAGTAATTTGTGTTTTCTCTTTTCTTCTTGTTAGCCTCACTAGAGGTTTATTAATTTCACTGATCTTTTCAAAGAAGCAGCATTTAGGTTGTTAAGTATTTATCACTACTGTTTTTGTTGTCAATTTCATTGGCTTCTGTTCCAACTTCTATTTCTTTTCTTCCGTTCTCTTTAGGCTTAAATTTCTCTTCTTTCCTAAGGTGAAAGCTTCCATTATTCATTATAGACAATTCTTCCTAATATATTTAACACTATAAATTTTCCTCATGTACTGCTTTTATAGCTACAAATTATAATCATTTCAATAATTTTATTTCTCATGAGTTCAGAGACAGCCCATGTGCTCCATGACTCCTATTACACTGGACTCATGTGGGTCTGACGGCGATGGGTGAGGGAGACAAAGTATTATACAACCTTAGGTCTATTGTTTCAGTGTTTTAGTCAGCCGGTGTCCCTGGGCTACAGCTTTCACAAATATTCTGTAGCTTTTCTTCCTACTTCTGTGGGGCAGGAAGATTAGAGGGAAAATGCCCTTATGCCAAGTGGAAGAAGACTGGTAAAGACTTTTGCCCTGGAAAATGGGCTTTGCTATACAGAATATTCTGGGCATATTTCACAATAACCATCTTGCCCTTCCCCTGCCACAGCCAAAAGGAACCTTTTCACTTTGACAGCCTAGGGGGTTTTCAGAGGTAGAATCCACAAAACTACAGAGACCACACTCAGCCTCCAAAAACTGTCATAATGATTGCTTATGCATCCCTACCAGTTTCTGCTCCATGTACACAGATCTCTGTTGTGACCAGGATTTTACTATCTTTACCGAATGAGAGATGGTGGTTTGCTT